TTGTTTAACAATAGGAGATGCAGGTAGAGTATCACTGATTTTTTCGAAGCGTTTAGTAGAGATAATTGGAGAGGTTTACATATAAGAGAAAACAAAAGTAGTAGGTTAAGTAATTTTATAGTAGCAAGAGGTAAAATTTGTATGAAATTGATCACATAAACATGTGCCAATAGTTGGTTGAATGGGAACTTTGAAATAATATTGTTTTTCTTAAAACTTTCATATTGATTGGGATTAACATCTGGTAGAAGAACACAGAATAACTTAGAAGTTTACTCATTTATACCAAGTCTATGATGAGCTTTGTATTTAGAGTAATAATATTCCATATCATAGAAGTCTGGTTTAGTTGTTATAAGAGTAGACATTTTTAGAATAATTTGATAGGTAAAAGTTGTAAATGTATAATTTTACAAGGGTACTAGGCAAGTATAAGGGTTAAAGTATACAGTATAGCTTAATATAGGTTTGTATAATTTTTTTTAATAAGGTATTACAAAATTTTAATTTATAATAAATTAGAATAATGGGTATGACTAAATATTAGTCACCAATGTAGTGTAAAATTAGCACAGAGTACAATATTTATGTAAAATTAATTAGAACCAAATATAGAAAAGAATAGATCGTGTGTTAAATAAGGTTCTATTTAAAGATATATTAGTAAATTTAGTGTAAATTTAATTAAGTATAAATTAAGAAATGATCTGATGTTACACGAAAAACGTGTAAGGATGAGCAGACCAAGGTAGAGATAAAAAATAGAAAAAGAATTTTTACAAGATAGTAAAAATTAAATTTGACTATAATTTAGTCAATATTTGGTCAAAATCTTCATCTAGAGCTCGTTTTGACCAGAAAAGTGTACTCTACACTTTTATTTAAGAGTGTAAAGTAAGTTGTGACAAGAACTTTTGTGTAATAAATGAAATTGTAAATTCTGAATGCCAAAGGCCATCAGTACGTTTTTCTCAACGAGTTTAAATTCTAAAACTTGAAACTTTCAAAATAAATGTAAAATTTAGTATTGAACAAGTTACTTAAGAGCCAAAAGCAAGTTAACTTAGTAAAATAAATAGTTATAAATGTTTTTATATGAATGAATTTTTAGTTAAGATTTGTGTAAAGGATTTGTAGAAAGAGTTTTCTCTATAATACCTATTAATTTTGCTAAATTTAGGTTATTTTAATGCTAACACAAAAATGTGAGATTTTAGCAAAGTATGTTCTTATACTTATTAACTAAATTAAAATGGATAAAATAAAATTATTCATGAACTTGAATAATTTATTTAATTACTTAGGTTAATAAACTTTCTTTATGCTTATTTACTAATTTAATAAGAATAAAATAAAATGTAATGTAAAATTTATGAACCTAAATAAATTATTTTAATTACTTAGATAAATAGATACTTTTATATACACACTCTAAGTTAATGCCAATAAAATGAAATTAAATAGCAAATATTCATGAACTTGAATAGCTTAGTTTAATTACTTTGCTAAAATCTTGTATTTTTGTGTTAGCATTAAAATAACCTAAATTTAGCAAAATTAATAGATATTATAGAATAATATAAGCATAATTGAAAAAAAAATATATTAAATTATAGATATAGGTTTTTACTAGGCATTCACTATATAATTATAAATAAATTTATTAGGCTTTTAATAATTTTTAAGTTTGACTAAAAATTCTTATAAATTCTGTCAACAGATAAAAGCATTTACAGAATTTTATAATGCTATTGTAAGGATTACAATTATTTTAAAAAAATTTAAAGCTATTCGAATAAAATAAAATAAAATAAAATACATTATTATCGTCAAATAATATGATGTCATTAGCTTTGTTTAAGATTAAAAATCCACTTTTTTATTATAAAATTCAATTGAATTTTTTTTTTTAAATACAATTCTACAGTTGGCTGCTGATTTAGCATAAATGAAATTTTTTTATAACAGTTGTTCTGCCAGGCTAAAACAACAAGACAGTTACTTTGAAATAAATGTTCATAAAACCTACAATAGGCTGAGTCGAAAGAAGCAGGTATATTTGGCAAGTTGAAATGGTTATTGATAACATTCGATTGATTTCACTTCTTATTTTACTAATACTTACTAAATAATTTTTGAACTAGTGGATCAAAACAACATTTCTTGAATGTGTGTAGTAATTAGCCTCAATAATCTGCTCCACAATTACATATTTGATATTAGATCTTTAACTTTTTGTATATATGTATGCATGTCTATTATTATTTTTTGTTAAAATATGAGTTAAGCTATATGAAAAATTTTATTTAAAGAATTTTTTTTTTATAAATATAAAATACGTAGTTATTTATCAACTATATATATTTTTATATTTATTTAAAATTATTACTAAACTTTTAAGATCAAGTATTTCTTGCTACTTCATATTTAATTAAGAACTTTGATGAATTGTAAAAAAATCTAACAAGATATTATGAAAAAGACATGCGAATCAAATAACTATAATATTGTAAAAGTTATAAAAGATGATGAGAATGTACTTTTTTAAAATTAAAAAAGATATGAAACCAAGTGGAATAGCTTTTGGATATCTGAGAAAAAGTATTTTAATTCATTAAAATTTGTATTGTTCATATTTGAATTATTAAAACATTTTAAATGATGCAAAATAATTTTGCTGTTTACTGTATCACTAACCTGGCACACCAATACATTCAAGAGTTGCAGTGAAACAGCTCATCTATAATCTGTGACAGGTTAAGCCACTGATTTTTATCAACATTTAAATATGCCTTCTAGAGTTGATCTAAGTTAAAGTTGAATATATAAAAAATGATTTAAGGGCAATAAGGGAAATAGATGCGATCAATGATTAATAGGTTATATAATAAATGCAGGTTTTAAGTAAGAAAGGACATTGCAAGGGTATCTAAGAGATAATGGGAATAATATGTTTAATGGGTTTAATAAGTTTAATACTTTAAAGAATGCATATATAATAGAACAATATATAATAAAGGCTTCGAGCCCTACAAGAACAGTTCAGTTAGTGCTTATTATAAATTTCACCTCTAATAATTCTCTGTTTCATTGTATTATAAAACCTATGATCATAAATACACAACTTACCAAATCTAACTGCCTCTTATCGACTAAGCCATTCATAGGTTATACAACATACCTATTTGTCAAGCAACTGACTTGCCATTTCGCTTGTGTCACTACACCTTAATGTTAATTTTATTTACTTCTATACAATGGAATAATATTACAAGGTTTAAAGTTATATGAACAAGACAAGTTGGTCTGTTTAATAACAACAATAGACTGCAAGATGTAAGATTTATTTGACATTACTGTGCTGATTAATGAAGCTTTATATAGTTCATTATGTAGAACTTTTGGGATATTTATTTGCATAGCATGAAATTTATAACTTTATTATTGTTATAAATAAAATAAACCTTTATTCATTATCTGAAGATAATTCTGTACTAGCTTAATCAATATCTAATTCATTTGCATAATTGTGTCAACTTGCCAACGGAATAGTTAAATGAAAAGTGAGTTGATCAAGTATCTTAATTTTTGCCAAGACATTTTCACTATAGGATGGCTTTTCTTGATTATGAACTGCAACCAAATATTTAATATGAATCTTTAAACTTTCAGCAACAAAGTTTTCAAGAGACTTGAGTGAGGAAGAAGACTTTTTGAACTCTGAAAAATCACTAGCATTAAGATATTTACTAAGTTTTTGCCACCAAACTTTACTGGCAACAAATTGCTTGCTATTTTCATTAGTCAGATCACTATAATAAATAATTTTTAATTAATTATATATTAAAAAGTTTTATACAATAACAACTTATATTTACTAATTTTTAACAAGCAAATCTTTAGCAAGAGCTGCCATATCTTTATTGAATGTATGTCAAAAATTATCAAAATATTCATATGTCTTTTTGTTTAAGATTTTAAATTCTCGAGATACAAAATCCATTGATGGAACAATTTTCTTAATTAGCATTTTATGCATTTTTTTAGTAGGATTTTGTATACATAAAAATAGAAGCTTGCACTGTTCCATAACCAGATTTGTTATAGCCACTTTGTCAAATAGTTCAGAAGTATTAACTTTATTCTAATAAATATTATATTTTATGTAATATAAAAATTATTAAATTCATAATATAATGCATTTAAATATTAGGCTATACAATTCTAATAATCGGTTTTCATAATCTAGCAAGGTGAAATTTTTTTAAAAAATTTTAAATATATTTATTATCTGAGTGAGTTTTTAAATTAAAAGCTAAGTTGCCAGTTATTTATATTATAAAAGCTGATTTATTAAATTTTTATAGCATTATCTATTATTAAAGTATAAATAAGTAAACAAACCTTATGTAATAAAGAAGTTGTTGATAAGTTTTGAACTTGAATAATTAAATCTGGTCATGTACACAACCAATTGATTAATGATTCTTCATCTGAAAAGTTTAACTCTTGTGAATTAGTATTAGCAGTCGTATTATAAGAATTTTCCAGTAAGTGTAAAGTACATTGAGACTGTATATCTTTGTTTGAAGTTTTTTCTCTATGTTGTTTATAATACTTTTGTGGATTGTTATTAGAATTCCAAGCAGAAATATTATAAGAAGTTGCTGGTGAGAACAAAGTATATTGAGATGTTGCATTTGGCATATTATGATAAGTTGCTGATAAGGATGAAGTATATTAAGATGGTGTATTTGGCATATCATGATAAGTTGCTAGTAAGGATGAAGTATATTGAGATGGTGCATTTGGTCTGGAAATCTTTTCTTTACAGAAATTTTGTTGAGTTATGAAAGATTCTTGATCTTGATTATTATTTATTAAATCATAACTCATTAAAGAATGTGAGTCTAATATATTATCTATTGATATTGTAGTTACTTGTGACAAACTTCTATATGGTTCTGGCATATTCAAGTTTCTGAATGTTGCAGATCCATGTTCATAAAATAATGCTGGTGCTTGGATCTATTTGCACTTTCGTTTGATGGTGTAATATTATAAGTTATATTTGAATTTAAAAAATTTGAGTTAATCAAGTTATGAATTGTTACATACTCTGAATTATAAATTAATGCTGGATTAATATCATGTAAGGGTCTTGGATAATTTGAAAGACTTTTTGATGTATAATTGTAAGCTAAGTCTTGATTTTGATGATGTGACCATGTTAAATTATTAGTTGGTGCAGTGTTATTTAAATTAAGTTACTCAAGTGGTGCACGAGCAGAATTATTGTATTCTTCTAAAAGAATGAAAAGTACAAAACCAAAATTAATTTAAACTAAATAAAAAAAACTTTTTTTTATAATACTGATTATTACCTTTATTTGTTACTTTTTTTGTACATTTGTTAGATGCTGCTCTTGGCTTAGAAGTTTCATCTTTAGAAGAATTTAAAGATAATATTAATTGGTATTGTTATTTAAGAGTTGTTATTATAAATACTTGCCAATAATTTTTTTTCTTACCTTAGTATTAGGTTTCTTCTTCATTTTAGTTTTAATAATTAAAAATGATTGTATATAAAGTAAATTAATATTTTTGATAATCAGTATTATGCAATGCTACTGATATAAAAATATTTAAAAAATATATAATGATCACAATAATAAGAGTAATACATATTTTACTTGAAATTTTTTTATGTCCTGACATCAGCTTTCACGATTTGATAAATTTGAAACTTCTCAGTTACGATTGTGAGCACCTAAAATTCCAAAAACTTTATCTTCAAATAATAAAGATACTTTGACAAATTTACATCATTCTTCATTGCAAAATAATAATGATAACTCTCAATGTTGGCAAAATGCTAAACAATCTAGCTTTATTGTTAAAAATTTTAATAATGATAATTTTACAATCAAATAACGATGAATCTAATAATGATAATTTGTATAATTTGAGTTGGGATAATATTTAATATAAAAATGAGAGCTGTGATATCAACTTAGAAAGTCAAGATGACAATAAAACAATTCTTACCAATACTGATAATTTAGATAATTCATCTGAATATTTAATAATATAAACTTTGATTTTTCATAAGATCAAGAATGTCAATTCAGGGCTTTTGAAATTTCACAACTATGGCAATGTATATATGGGTTACAGTATATATGACATGTAAGTTTCTATATGAAATTTTAGTTTATTTATTATAATCTTTATTTTATTTTAGTTTATATATATATATATATATTTTAGCAACGGCTGCTTATCAAGATTTAATTCAAATTATACTTCATCCTCAATTTGAAAAAAACTACATAATTGCTAATTTACAAAAGCTCAAAAAGTATCATGAAAGACTCTCTTTAATGAAAATTAGAAGTCATACTGTTTCAATCAATAATCAAAATACACCATCTATGACTAAAAATTTCACAAAAGTTTATTATTTCTCATTAATCGAGCATCTTCAACATATATTAAAAAATTCTGTTATCAAGTCTCAATTATATTTTGGGCCAGGCATTTTTTCAGAATCATGTAAAGAATTATGGAAAGGAAAGCTTTGGGCAGAATCATCTCTTTTTGGTCAGTCAGATATAACAACATCACAAGGTAATTAAATAAAAAATAATCATTTATATAAAGGAGGTATTCTAGCAGATTTAAAATTGGTTAATAGTAAAACTTTATTAAAAATATTGCTAGTTATAAATTTTATTTTAATATAACATATTTATTTAATTCTAAAATAAAAAAAATTAAATTTTTATTAGTGCAAAAGAACTTTAATGCTCAGTAGATAAAGTGATAGATCGATATAAAAATTAATCAGTTATTACAATATTAGTTTCTTTAATTACAAGGTATTTGTACAATTATCTTGCAATTCATTAATCAGAATCAAATAGGTTTATTATTATTTGATTCGCTTGGTAAGATGAATTAAGTTTTAGTATAAAGATCCAATTAATAGACTATGTATTATCTTCAATATTATGTGATCCGTCATATTACCTATTTTGCTATAATACCTCTCTCTCCCTTATATAATTACCTGTAAAGTATTTTATTTATGCAACTATTATAACAATTTTTTAATTATTTATAAAACAATTTTCATATTTTAGATTCTTTCAAATGTGATGATTTCATTCAATATTTTTTTCAAAATTCTTTAGAACATGATCAAATACGATTATTTGTAATTAAAAATAATTTGATGAAAGTTCAAATACAAAGAATTGTTCCTTATAACAAAATTCTACAAAATTTATATTCAGAAGAATATGCTCAACAAGAATGGGTTTTGGTGGAAGAACCAAGTTATTATATTATAGAGCCATCATCTTTAATTCGAAAAATTAAAGTTTGGCTTAAAGATCAACAACCACTACCATATTTTGATTTATTCATTAATGAAATTTTATACAATTTTAATAGACAGTAGAAAATTCACTCTATTAAATTTCAAAACCAACACCTAGCTGAATATATATCAGAAAATTTATCATCTAATTCTGCTATTCCAGTTTTAAAATTCTTTTTGGACCTGTATTATGATAACTTTGGTACTTTTTGTAATACATATCATGCATTAGGTAGAATCTATCTACAGATTGGTAATATGCTACATCAAATAAGAAAACAATTGCGCAATCATTTTGTCATTGCTTTTGTACCTTTTGGAGAGGATATTTGAGATTTCATTAAACCCTTTCTTGAAGAACTTAAAAAACTTAAACAAGGTTTTGTGATGAATTTAAATAGAATAAATTATTGGATAATAGGTGGATTAGGTGTTTTTACGGCAGATCTACCTCAAGGAAATGACATTGCTAGAGTCTTATGCCATAATGCAAATAGAGGTTGTTATGCATGCAAAGTACCCAAAAAATGATTAACTGATCTTTCATATAATATATATTATCATGGTCGACACCACCAAATAACAGATGAAAAATTTTAGTTTATAAATTAACAAACTTCAAGTAATGCAAAATCTCGATTTTGTTCTCAATATAGACTACGCTCTTTGCCTGGACCATTAGATCCACTATTGCATGATCATCATTTACATACACCTCAAGATGCATATTATGCAGTTGTTGAGAAAATAGCTAGACTACTCGATTGTACTTGTTCAATTTTAACACCATATAGTGAAAGCACTTTAATTAATTGCTAGAAAAACATTGAAGTACCATTACAATGGTTCAGATTGCCAAACCCAATTACTCACTGATGCTCATTTATGATGTCAGATAATTTAAGAATTCTTATGATTTTCCCATTTATATTAAACCATTGCTTAACTGTTAATAGTATTAAGGAAAATTATTTAAATTATACTTGTAATTGATTACATTTTTCTTACCAATTAGAAGTAAGAGATTATATTATTTATGCTTGGGCATTTTCAGCAAAAGTGGCTAAAGAAGTATTTTCATTAACTATACAATGGCCTGCTAGATATTCTAAATTACAAGCTATACTCAATAAAGAACTTGAGGTTTTAATTAAGATGTTTTTTTTATTAATATTTTGTTTAAAATTTTAATTTTTATGATACTAATTTTTTTAAAAAATTTATTATAGCTTTTTCCTAGTGATTTTAAAAACCTTTCTAACCTACATATAAACTGTCATTTAGTAAATTATGCATACCAATATGCGACTTGCATAAATACAGCTGTTGGTACAAAAGAAATAGTGCATAAAATATTCAAAGCAATCATTCCACACACCAATAAATATAACCTTAAACTTACTTTATTATGGCGAATTAATACTTTACAAACATTACGATATCTCTTTGACAATAAAATAGATGATCGAATGCTGAACTATTCTACACAATCTAATTTTAAGTCATTGATTGAAACACCACGGCTTTGTAATTTGTTATCTGGCTGGTGTATAAATAATTATAGTTTATCGATGCATTGCTTAAACAATATATCTGACTAATTACAACCTAAAGGTTTCTTTTTTTTTTTTTTTTAATACAATATTTAGCAGTTATTTTAATACTGGTGTTGATTTTATTTCTAGATAATTTAACAGTTATTGCCAATCCCAATCATTTAGAACATTCAAAAATAAAGTTGGAAAATAAATAGAATAAACATTAAATCAAAACTGCAGGATTTGTATTAACAAGTCTTGAAACAAATGGTCTTTTAAGAGAAATTATGAATGTATATTCATTATATTATTCATTTGAACAAGCTTTACTAGAAACCTGAGTTTGTTTTTATGAAAATGCAACATATACAATATGCTGATCTAATGGCGACTATTATAATATAAGATTAAAAGTTGGAGAAATAGTTGAAACTAGATTATTTGGTGAAGATCATTCGGTATTTGGTAAAATAACTGGTATTATCAAACATTTATGGAATAACAGTCAAGCA